CTCGGCGCGGCCGGCCGGGGAGGGGGAGGGGGGAGAAATTGGGGGCCCCGGGAGCCCGGGGTCCGCGCGGAGCGGGGTTGGCTGTCCGTGCAACTCGGTTTGGTGAACTGCGCAAGTGGCGCGGTCCAGCCGAGGCCCGGGGGGAGCAGAGCCGGAGGCCTCGGCGGTCACCTCCCGGGACTCGCGCCCGGGGTCGTGCCCCCTGCCCCCCTGCCCCCCTCCGTTCTGGAACTTGCTGCCTGGGGAAGGTGGGTGTCTAAGGCCAGAGTCCGGGGACACTGCTGCTGGCTGAAGGGTTCTGCTTGCTGCCTGGTTATTTGCGGGCTTCTCGGCACAAAATGTAAAATTTAAAACCACCGGCTGCCAGATAAGGGGCCGGAAGGCTCTTTGGCCGGAGCCTCCTTTAGTGACCAAGATAAGATTTGAAAAGGGCTTTGGGAGGAACCGAGAACGCTCTGTATGTAGGTGTGTCCTTCATTCCAGAACTCGCCGCACTTGGAGGGAAGGGCTTTCTGGGCTGCCCAGTGGCAGTGACCTGTTCTTGCCGCGACACGTGTCCCTCTGCTCTCGGAGACCCTTTGTTTCCCGGCGGTGCGCCCCTCCCCCGCCGCCGTGCTGGTGAGATACAAATTACTGACCCGATATCTGGCCTGGCACTCATACCATTATGACTAGGAGCAAATTGCCCACCCTGCTTTTAGAGCTCCTGAGTCTGCAAACTTGAAGTTGCTTAGTTTCAATCGGAAACCTCCCAGCTGAGCCTAGTTACATGATTGTTCTGGAGTTCAGCGGCCCCACTCCGCTGTGGTCGTCTAAGGCTCAACAGTGCCTCCCAGGTTTCAGTTCTTTTCTATGTGGTGTCCAGGTATCTGTATGTATAGACAGAGAGAAGGGAGTTTATGAGATTAATCAACGATTGGACAGGCCTGTCCAGAGACCCTGGGAGAGATTCTGTACCCAAGGCCTACCTAACCCCTTCAGTCCATCTCCAGCCCCTCGTTAAGGGGAAAGCTAACGTTGTGGAAGAGAGGACTGGGCTGGAAAAAGAACGAGAAATGGACCGTTCAGACCCTGAAGGCAGGAAAAGGCTTCAGAAATACAGACCAAGGCCAGTCTCATACTTGCAATGTAGGTGTTAGTATTTCTCCAAACCTCCATGGGATTTTTCAGAGTATGTTCCTTCCCATTTCCACCCACAGTCCTCATAAAACATAAGAATCCTACCAGATCCTCACCCCCATAAAACATAAGAATCTTACCAGAACTCTTAGGCTGTATGGGTTAAAGAGAAATATTAACATAAAGCATAATTACTATAGCAATAATGGTAAATGCTGTCACTATTTCAGCCAACTCTACTTTCTTAGTTTTTGTTGTTGTTGTTGTTGTTTTCATAGTNAGTAACTATTTCAGCTAACTCTACTTTCTTAGTTTTTGTTGTTGTTGTTTTCATAGTGTATTGGCCTCTGGATCGCTCTTGATTTGATTAAAAGTGGTACCATCTCAGGGAACCACCAGTGGGAAGATGAAAAAAACCCCACACCTATAAAAGGTTATACAAGCCCTGGAAGGTGTGGCTCAATTGGTTGAGCATCACCGGTTTGATTGCCAGTCAGGGCACATGGCCAGGTTCAATCGCCGGTCAGGGTGCATATGGGAGGCAACTGATCGATGTTTCTCACATTGATGCCTCTCTCTGCCTCTCTCTTGCTCTCCATCTCCCTTCCTCTCCATCTCCCTTCCTCTCTCTCTAAAATCAATAATTTTTTTTTTAATGGCTATACAAATTTGTCCCACCCCCAAAAGACATTTGAGCCCTATATGCCGTTCTAATACATGGATTTTTGCCTAATAGAATATTTTCCAAACTTCATTCTGTATGCGATCTGAATTCAGACTGTTAATTTTTGATTCAGATTTTTTTTAGGGGAGGGAGAAAAAAAAAAATTAACTTTAAATTTCACTGGCATCTACCCCACCCCTGGCAATTGGACACAACTAAGGGTGTTGGGGGCTGCATTTCGTGAGTTTATTGAGCCTTAATCACTGTTTCTTTACCTATCTGGTAGAAGCAGCTTCTTCACAGTACATTTTCAACAAACAAAACACAATGTTTTTTCCTGGGGTTTTCTGGGTCTTAGTGAGTAGGGACTGTTCCCTTAAACGGGGAAACCTATTGTCTTTTGAAAATGAGGAAGGAAGGAAATGGGATCATGTAATTGACTTACTCTCAAGAGCAGCTGTAGGGAGACTCAGAGAGAGGGGAAAGCAGTCCACAGTTAGACATCTCAGAGTTTATTCTTATTCTCAGCTGAGCGGTAAACTGGAGTTTGGCTTCTCAGGAAGGAGAGGGTGTGAAGTTGCTTAAAACAAGTTCCTTAGCGTGATTCAGCGAAACAGTCTCTTTACTGGAAATGGAAGGAAAACGCCCGACTTTCCCAATTGACCACCCCTTTAACAAGAAGAGATGCCAGTTCCATTTCTTCTCAGAAGTCTCTTCTGATCCCTAAACATCCTTTCACATAGAGTCTAAGGCCTAGATTTTACTCAGAGCTAGATTATTTATTACAAAAATGTCCCTCTTACAGCCCTTTATAAAAAAGTAAACATACCACACACCTCCACAGCGTTAAAAATCTTACCTCTTTCTTCCCAGTCTTTCCATAGGGCCCTCCATCCTTTTTGTAAGAAGGTCTTTTCCTTTCCTGAAGCCTTGGAGTTGAGTGACAGATGTAAGTTGGAAGGGGGTACCCCTTGTCTCCTCTTTGTTCTTTGTGCTTCAGGAAACTGGGCCGACTTGGAGAGGCCAGCTTGGCACCCACGCTAGATTCAATCTAGGTTAGGGTCCTGCTTTAATGTTGTAAGGCCCTGGGAGTGTGGGAAACTGAAGGTTAAATTTCCCTTTCCTGTAGAGAGAGTAGTTTCTGTCTCCAAGGAGAAGGAACTGGTACTCCAAAGGTTCTTGGTGGCTCAGCTTGAAATGTGCTTAAAATCTCTGCAAGTTTAACTTCCGGCAATGATGATTTAGCTAATAATATTTACCTAAAAATCTGTAGTTCTAGAAATCTCCATTGTAGCTTATCAGTTTTCTACCTACTTGCTTTGAAGCAAGAAGAAAAAGAAACCACAAATGAAAATACAGTAAAACTCTGAAAGTGCTGTTTTGTCAAGGTGCAAATATTGGGTGTCCTGTTTGACAGGTTAGATCGGTAAAGCAGTTTCAGGAAAGATTTCATATCCATTCACTTCAAAGAAGCACGTGTCAACTTTAATTTTACATATAAATAGAGGATACAAGCCTATTTATTTTAGATTACATAATCTGTTTATTATTGCAATCAGGCATTTGTTTGGATTCAGGGCCTATGGGGACACCCATTTTTGGAGCTGAATGTCAGGGTCTGTGTGCTTAGGAAAAAAATATAGAAGAGGGTAAGAAGAAAAAAAGTTATTTCACTAAACTACTTGGTTTGAATAGCACAGATTTTATTAGCTGGAAAGGAGTCAGGGTGGCTCCATAGTTATTAAAAGAAGCAGCACTCTTAAATTAGTCTTCTAAGATATTTGTCATCTTGAATGTCATATCTTTGATTGAACTGGGCTTTAAACGTTGGCTTTTCTGGAGGTAAGGAGATTAAAAAGCATTTCTCAACAGTAAAGTTTAAAAGTAATTATCTCTATAAGCGTTCATTTAAAAAAAGAATGTCATTTTTTACCTCCAATTTGTGACTTCTCATTCTACATGCTGTTGGTGATAACCTCGTCATTCGGTTGTGACCTTTATTCACTGCAGATGGGGCATTCTGTTCTCCCACCCTCGGGACTTTACCCCCGTGTGTACCACGGAGCTTGGCAGAGCTGCAAAGCTGGCACCAGAATTTGCCAAGAGGAATGTTAAGCTGATTGCCCTTTCAATAGACAGTGTTGAAGACCATCTTGCCTGGAGCAAGGTAACGTATCCATGGGTGTGTGCTTTGAGGTTATAAATCAAGCTATAAATTATAGCTTGGTCTTTTAGAGATGAAGCTGTAAGTAAACCTCAGGTTCAGACTCGACTGATCATTTGAAAATCTGCCTTGGATTGCACAAGGACCTGCACCTTGCTCAATCCGAGGGCCAGTTCTCAGCCCTCATCTTTCTTAGCCTATCAGCAGCATACAGCCCAGTGGATCACTGTCCATACCAAATATTTTCCTCTGTTGGCCTCCAGGACACCACATCTCTAGCTGGCCCTTCTCAGGCTCAGACTGAGCTTCATCATCTCCCAACTCCTGATTTATGCTGGAGTTGCCCTGGGCTTGTTTCTTGGACCTCTTCTATCTACACCCTTTCCCTTGGTGAGTTCGTCCACTCACGTCTACATGCTGATTCCCATATTTTCATCTCTAGGCCTGACTCTCCTGGCTTCCAGACACAGCCACTGCCTACTCAGCATCTCCCCAGATGTCCCATCATCTCAAACCTAATGTCTGAAACTGAGATTCTGTTCTCAATCCTGGGGTCTTACTCATCTCAGCTAATGGTAACTGCATTTTTATAGTTGCCAAGGCCCCAAATCCAAGAATTATCTTTAACTCCTCTGGTTTTTTCACATCACATGTCTGACTCATCAGCAAACTTGTCTGCTGTGCGTTCAGAATATATCCCAACTTCCTATTTGGAAGCCTCTTTCCCCAGGTATCTTTGTGACCTGCTGTCATCTCTCTTAGGTCCCAACTCAAATGACACCTCTAAGGCTGTCTTTGGCTTCCATACTCCCTTCCCCCCTCTGATTTTTTCCCCTTAGCACTTGTCACCATCTAAAGTACTCTGCACGTCACTAATTTTGTTTGTTTCTCCCCTCCTGTTCTGCACTCTACTCAGTGCCTCCTAGGCAGTCAGTCTAGATTTGTTGAATGAATGAACTGAAGGAATTGTCTACTTTCAACAAAAGGATTTACGATCAATTAATATGGTGGTGTAAACTTAACCCGAAAGTATTTGAATGGCTTTGTTACATGTGCTACTAGCCAATGATGGGTAACTTTGGAGAGATTTTTGCTGTGTGCTAGGCCCTAAGTCAGGCATTTCACATGCACTTGAAGAAAAGATGTAGTACTGACTTGGCAATTTCACACCAGTTAATCTGCGTGTCTTGAGATTTCAAGAATTGCATAGAAGAGAAAAGGGACCCTTTATTTCTGATGGTTTTTACAATATTTGGAAACTCAAAGGTACCTTGGATTGGGATTTGACGCTGCACTGTTTGGCTTTTAAAGAGGTTACTGCTGCTTTCTCAAAGCAGTAAAAGCAAGATGTATTTTAAGAGACATGGGCATGAAAAGGGTCTTTGCTTAGCCCTGGCCAAGCGGCTCATTTGGTTGGAGTGCCTTCCCGTACACCAAAAGGTTTCGGGTTTGATTCCTGGTCAGGGCACATACCTAGGTTTCAGGTTTGATCCTCGGTCGGGGCACATAATAGAGGCAACCTTATGACTTAAGTACAGTACCTCCTGCCGTTCCTGTCAGGGAATAATTGGGATGGGCAGTGTTCATTCATTCGCGTACTTATTAAAATTGCTTAGAGAACCTACTGTGATTCTGGCTGTTAGCAGATTGAATTCCGAGGACGTGCCTGGCTTAGATTTCTCTTTCCTCTTTCGCCTGCGTTTTAGGATATCAATGCTTACAACTGTGAGGAGCCCACAGAAAAGTTACCTTTTCCCATCATCGATGACAGGCATCGGGACCTCGCCGTGCTGCTGGGCATGCTGGACCCGGCCGAGAAGGACGAGAAGGGCATGCCTGTGACGGCGCGCGTGGTGGGTTGTCGAAGTCCCTTCTGTAGTCATCATGACTGGCCGGGCTATCCCAGTAAATGCTTGGAGCAGCTAGAGGCAATAGGAGGATATATATTAATAGCTATATATTTCTCTAGGAAATAACTGTATGGGTGGCAATCTCACTGATTATGTGTAACGTTCATGCTCAGTTTTCAGCTACATTTTTAAACTGGTTAATTCACAGCTTTTGGGATACCTACATAAAGTAAGTAGGATTGAGTAATAAAGTACCTAGAATTGAGTAATCTTTTCTATAGCTCTCCTGATAGCCTTCTCTTTAAAGTGATGGGCCATGTCCTTCTTCCTAAGACGGGTCTGGTTTTAAATTCTTGTTCTGTCCAGACCCACTGGAGAACAAACTTAGCCCCTCATCTGCAAAAAGTACAACTATGCAAGGACCAGTATCCACTCCCATTGGTATTATTTTTTTATAATCATCCCTACTTAACACAGTACCTTCCTGAGTCCTTTCCTAGATTCAGTTTGTCTTACTGGGGCAGCCAGAACCAAATAGAATTCCCTTCTAAGTGTAGAAAAATATCATGAACACTGATGTATACCTGAAACTAATATAATACTGTATGTCATTGTAACTAAAAAGTTTTCAAAAAAATTTTTAAAGAAAAATGACACAGAGAAGAAAAGTGTCTAGATCCCAGCCCCCCGAAGGAAGCTTGATGTCTGGGGATTTTTTTGTTTGGGTTNCCAGCCCCCCGAAGCAAGCTTGATGTCTGGGGATTTTTTTGTTTGGGTTTTATACCCTTGAACATTTTTAATGATAGGCGAGCATTCATTCCAAGAGGACTGAATATCAAAAACACTGAAAGAACTCGTCCTGTTTGTGTTTCTGGGCCTTGCAGGTGTTTGTTTTTGGCCCTGATAAGAAACTGAAGCTGTCCATCCTCTACCCAGCGACCACCGGCAGGAACTTCGATGAGATTCTCAGAGTAGTTATCTCCCTCCAGCTGACAGCGGAAAAGAGGGTTGCCACCCCGGTTGACTGGAAGGTAAAGACACTAAAAGGGCAGGTCCCCAGCGTGCCTGGAAGGCCCATGGGGAGTGTCCAAATGGCCACCCTCGGACTCTGTCTTACCTGGGGTTCTGGTTCCAGCACGCAAGTCCATTGGGAGGGTTTTTCCTCGTGGCTGAGTTTAAAATTTGCTGAGAGGCCGTGTTCAAGGTCTTTAACATTTTTATATAAAACACAAACTCCCTATATTGCTTTCTAGATTTTAGCTTATTTAGACAAACTGGTCAAAATGATTCCCTTTCCTGGTAAAAGGATTTTTTAAAACCTTTAAACCTTCCTTGATGGCAAAAATATTTACAAGACTTCGATTAGCCACTTAAGTCCTGGCTGCAAAACTTTTTGGTGTCTTACTGTCGTGACATTTTTTCTTCTCTTAAGCTTCATTAAACCCCATGCAGAATTCCCTGACACCTGTTGTTAAGCTTTTTATCTCTAGGATTTCTGCGGTATTTAAGACATAGGTAATATCTTGAGAGTATCTTACTGTCGCTACATTTTTAAAATACACTAACCTGAATACCAGGTTTGGTTTGGTTTCTGATAAGCAAATCAGTTAAAGTGCTGAGTCCATTCACTGACTATACACTTATTGAGCCCAGATATAGCCGTGAACAGAAACGTTCCAGACCTCTTGGACTCACATTCCAGTGGGTAGAGACGGACAGTAAACCAGTTTTACAGTGTATTAGGTGGTGCTAAGCGCAATGGAATAATCGAGAGCGGAGCCCAGAGGTGGGAAGGTTGGCTTTCTGTACAGCTGTCAAGGGAGGCCTCCTGCAGGAAGCTTTACGTGAGAGTGAGCTTGGCATGTTCCAGGAGCAGAGGGAGCCAGCGAGCCTGGGCCTCATTCTTGCCTTCAGGCTTGCACATTGAATTTCACCATTCTCGATGTCTTTCAACAGGTTGGAGATAGCGTGATGGTCCTTCCAACCATTCCTGAAGAGGAAGCCAAGAAACTTTTCCCTAAGGGAGTCTTTACCAAAGAGCTCCCGTCTGGCAAGAAATACCTGCGCTACACTCCCCAGCCGTAGGTCTGCTGGTGCGGGAGATGCTCACCCGCAGTGAGCCAGAGGCAATTCCATAGAACGTCGTGCTGTGATCACAGCCACAGTCTCTAGGTTGCTGTACTAGTGGCTTATTAAATGAGAATGGCACTAAAACCTCCATGGGATTCTTTGCTTCATGCCTTCACTGGCCTTCTGTTCTGTCCATATGTCTCAGCACTCGCCTGGCTCTGAAATATAGTCTGTCTTTGAGACTCACGTTGTATTGGATCTCTGCAGGGTCTGTGATGAGCAAGGTGCGACCCACTGATGGTTGAAAAACTGTTTTGCTCCATCCTGGAATGACCACCAGTTTTTTTAGCTGTTCTCATCAAATCCTCTCTTCCATTACACATTTTGGGGAGCAGTAGAACTTGAGGTTCGATTTCCTCTGTTGATCTCTAAGTATGTAACCCTAGAAGTTAAAGTAACAGAATATTCTTCAATCCTCAGGGTTTTGATCACAGCTAAGGGAAAAAACTTTTCAATTCTGTACTTTCCTAGTAAATAACTGAAGTGGGATGAGCAGGGGGTGGGATCTTTAAATATTTTGCTAAGAAATTTTTTCAAGCCTGGCCGGGCGTGGTTCAGCAGTAGTGTGTCAACCTAGAATCCAGGTGATCGGGGTTCGATTCCCGGTCGGGGCACATGCCTGGGTTGCGGGCCTGACCCCCAGTCAGGGGCGTGCAGAAGGCAGGCGATCAGTGACTCTCTCATCATTGATGTTTCTATCTCTGTCCCTCTCCTTTCCTCTCTGAAATCAATAAAGATATATTTTTAAATTTTTTTTTTCAATAAATTTCTATCAAAAAAGGGAAGCTACAGAAAAGGCTCCACTTACCTGCCTGAGGGGTAGCTGAGGTGAGAACGACAGTGCCACCTGCCTTTCACAGCAGGTATTTCTGTGTCAGCCTCTCTGACCTGGGGACACAGAGGGGCTTGGCTTGCCTTTGGAAGTGAGGAGAGGATGACTGAAAATGTTTATTTATAGAACGATTCTTGCTGGGGGTGGGGCAGTACTTTCTGAATTTTGCTTTTTGGGGATCTAGCAAATAAATCCTTTGTTAAAACTGGATCAGAGAATTCTGTTGTCACGTTTTGAAATACTTGGTGAGACCCGTGTCCTGTGGGCAGAGGTTTCCTCGCTGGGACTGGCATTGGTACTTCTGTCCAAAGACAGATACATAAAATTTTTAATAATGAACATGGAGGTGCAGCTGACCTATGACTTCATCACAGCACCTGGCCAGCTTTGCTCCTTCGTGGTACTTGCCTGGGTCCTATAGTCCCTTGAGTTTGTGACCCCTGATGTAACAAGCTCTCCTAATGCCTTAATGGGATTGCTGAGCTTAAGAATACGAATCTTGAGGATCATGGTGCACGTAGGTGTTCTTTTCTGGAAAGAGTACTAATTACTCCCAACTCATGGTGTCGTGGACTTGCGCTGTGCTAAAAAGCCCTAGGTTTGGAAATAAGTGTCTGTCGCACACCTGGTACAGTCTCGTGTGTAGCCCTCTATATTTTTTAGTAAAATACGGTCCCTGGTGCCATGTGTCAGAGAAGTTGTTAGGCCTTTTAGTTTCCTTAAAAAGGTGGGTGACACTAAGAAGGTTGAGAATGAGGGTAAAAAAAGTCCAAGTTTTCACAATATCCTGGCGAATGCTAATCGGAAGGAGACCTACAAGGGCTGGCATCCTGCTCTCATCTCTTCTCCAAGTCACAATGTATTCTACCCTCAAAGAACTAATACTGCCTGGTCCTCTGAAAGCATCTCTTCTGACTAACACCTGGCCCCTCCATCTCTTGTAACCTTCCTATTAAGTTCCTCACTGCTCTCTGCCATTGCTGTTTGCCACCTTCAGTCGTCTCATGGAGAGTGACTTCAACTTTCTTTTATAGTGACAGTTCAAAGTCTAACCCTCCAACATTAATTATTCAAACTTGAGTCTTTACTGGCTGATGGAACATTTACCACTGAGTTTGCAAAATTGAAATCTCACTCATCACCTTTTCCCCCAGTAAACTTACTGTCCCTCTCATCACTCGCTCAGGCACCATACCTTAAAGTGTTTTGTTTGGCTATATCTACTCTACCCAGAAAGATGACGTCAATATAAAAATCCTTTAAAAGCTCAAATTAAAGGGGTTCCTGTGCCATCAAATTACTAAGCAGCCATGAATCCATGAGACTGAACGAATTCCTTTCCAATTATAAAATACTACATAATGAGTGTGTATTTCCACGTAGAAGTGATCCTTAGCATATTTTTAACACGCTTGGGCATGGAGAGTAGAGTTCCCTTATCGAGAACTGTTGCGCTCAATTTTCATAGGAAGAACAGAATAAACTACATTATGCATCCAAAGATTTATTAATTGAAAGTGAATGTGTGACCATGGTGGCTATGAGAGAAGCGTAAGGAATCTGAGACAGCCCATGTGACTTCAAAGAATAAGCACAGAATGGATAGGTGTGGAGTTTTGTCCTACAGCTCTTTCAAATACATGGTGATGTGCTTTCAAAGTGAGACTGGAGGGCAGATATCTGCTTTCTGCTAATTTATTCCCTGGACTGCAGATCTCAAGCTTCAAAATGCATTAAATTGCATGAGGAACGTGTTAAAATGCAGAGCCCAGGGCCCACCCCAGACACTGGTTCTACAGGTGGCCAGAAGTTTTTCATTTGTAACAACCCAGGTGATCGATGCCGAGTACAGCAGACACTGCACCCAATACCCATTCCTGGTCTTTACTACAAACACTCAGATTGTATTAGGGTTGACAAGGTAAGGTGCCAGCTAAAGTTCACTTCAGATGATAGGTGTGGGCATGTGACAGTGCTTCCCTGGGTGGGGCCCCTTCCTGACTAAAGGCAAAGCCTCGTAAAAGAGAAAGCTCCTTGTCCAGCTGAAACGCCGGTGGGATGCCCAGAGTGACTGGTGAAGGTTTGCCATCCTGAGAGGCAAAGCAGCCAAGGATGGAGGAGGGGGAGGCTACAAGGAGCCTGGGTCCGTGATGATGCCTCAAGCCATGGCACCAGTCCTCTTCTGCCTATATCCAGGCATCTGATTACACCAGAAAAATGAAGCCACTTGGGGTTTCTGTAATGGGTGGCCTCACATGACACAGGGGCACTCCACAGCCACTCTTAGAAAGGCTGACCTACATGCTAGGTGTCCAGAAGGCTCTTCAGAAATAGTGAGGCTTGACTCTTTCTCTTGTGTTTCCTTCTATCATGGTTTTCCCTAGAGTCCAGAGGTTTGCATTCTTTCAAAGCTTTGTTGAAATGAAAAGGAACAATGAAATCTAATAAACAGACCACAAACTCAACTTTATTTGACTTTTAAAAACAAAATGAAAATCGTATCAAACAGTACTATGCAATGTAAGATTGTTAACTTCTCAACTTGGCTTTCAGTAAGTAAGATTATGGAACACACATCCAGTTATCAATAGTCACTAAATTGGGGAGGGGGGAATCACTTTACTCTGGAAAATGTTAGGGGAGCACTAATTATAGCAATATCACAAATCACAGTTATGGATTCTGTGCTTTAGATGGTAGTATATTGTACAATGCTTTTAATAACTTGTATTTTACTATGACTTGCTCTCCCCTGGAGCAGGGTTCTATTGGTAGGCCATGAGTTCTGAGATCATCTTACCCTGGAGAATTGTTGAACAGCTCAGGTATAATGCAACTACTTAAAACTGGAGCTTTTGCAACAACCAATCAATTGCTTATAAAATAAATGCAGCAGTACATTGTTTTATCAACTTCTCGTCAGATAATCCTTCCGCACTTGAGCCAGGATATTGGCTCCGTCTTTAACCTGACTTCACATATCGGGTTAGTGCCATTAATGTCCTTTTCTATAATGAGATCCAGTGTCCAACTATAAAAGAAAGTCAAAAGTAAAATATTACACTATGTGCATTTCAGAAAAAAACCTAATGAACTTAAATATGCCAGAAAACTTATGAAAAGTTTCCATTTTATTATCTGGAACATTCCCTCTAAAAGATCTTACATTTTAAGGACTTTGAGTGATACATTGTCAGTAAAGGCGTGTGCATCTCTATACGGTCCAACGTCAGCTTATAAAAAGATACTACATTAATTCAATTAGAGTAGTCTCTCTCTCAAGGAAAAGAGAAATGCTAGGAGAATTGAATTCCAATTAACTTTGTGACTGATTACAGGGTAACTGGAAACTTTTTTCTTAAATCAGAATGAGAATGTTTTTAAATAATGGGGACTGGAACAAAACAGTGACCAATGACGAACCCAATTACCTGACTCCTAATTAGGTTTCTCATTTGTGAAATAGGGTTTCTATAAGAGGAGAAAGTGACTAAAAAGAACTATGTTGCTTTGTTTAAAAGGCTCATTAACCATAAGTTTGGTCAATGCAACTTTCTGTCCCCAAACAAAACACACTACAAACCACCTGGGTTGTCAGAAATGACAATGGCAGGACCAGAATGTCTATTAGAAGGGCCTTAGGGTGGCTGTCTGGTCAGGGGTATGGTGGGCTTGAAGCTGCACTTACACAGGCTCACCATATTTAGAGGGCATGTTTATTTGGGGTGACTTGGCATCTGGGGGAGGGAGAGGGCTGAAGACCCCGGAAGCCCATTCTTGACACCATTACTGCTATCTGGCCGACTTTGCATTTTCCAAGTGCCCTATTGCTCTTGTCAGAGCTGCCTTTTTCACTCAGCAGTGGGCGCCCAACAGAGACCCCTTGAGTAATGTATCTGCAGGCTACCCCCCCCCCC